CTTTTTACATAGTACATAACATAAAGACATCAATATGTCAGAATACCCCACAAATTTTGGCATTAGCTTCTTTTAGTGCATGGATTAATTGTCAAGTTGCTCAAAACTGGGCCAAAGACCCTGTACTGGGATTTTGGCCAAATTTTGTCAAAAATAAAAACAGAGAATTCTTCATGCATTTTAATAACTTTTTTGATACATATACATGTAATTATGTTGTGTAGAAAGTTTGAACAAATTCTAGTCAAAATTTCATTTTTAATGAATTTTTTGAAATTCCTCAAATGCCATGTACTGTATTTTAGTGCTTGTCAGCTCATGAAGCTCATGCTGTTTAGCTCACTTAGCATGCTCTATGGAGAAATCAGCAATGTATCAAAATATTTAATAAAAAAACTAGAGGTGATTTTGAAGCCAAATTTTTGAAAAAAACCCTGGGCTATAGCTAAGAGTAGCCTTTGCTTTTTTCAAAAGTTAGCTCTTTTTTAAATTCCTGTAACTCAAAAATAATGTGTCAAATACCCAAGGCTATAGCCCATGCTTTTTTTCTGAAATCCGGCTAAAAATCATGCCTAGTTTTTATTATATTTTCTGATACATATTGATACATATTGACGTCCTTATGCTCTGTAGAAAGTGTGAGCTGATTCCAACTTAATTTTTCAAGTTACAACCATTAAAAATATAGGCCAAAATCTAAAACTTACCCATGCTTTTGTTCAAAAATGGCCAAAAATGACCCCCCCCCCCCATTTTTATTACATTTTCAGATACGTATTGATGTCCTTATGCTGTGTAGAAAGTTGGAGCTGCTTTCAACTTAAATTTTTAAAGTTATGGTTGTTAAAAATTTTTTTTTCTATTACTCTCCTTGAGTTACATGTACATTAATCATTATTGTACAAATATAATCCTTAACTTACATGTACATGAATAATTATTGTTATTACATCATCATTATCAATAATAATAATAATACTGGGTATTATTATTATTATTATCATCATCATCATCATCATCATTATTATTATTATTATTATTATTATCCAGTGGTCTACAGTGTCTTTAATGCTATGATCATTGCTGCCATTCATCCACTGGAATACTGTAGAATGTTAACGCTCCAGGTAAATATTTACAATTTTATATTAAAATTAAAATTAAAATAGCTCCTATCTATTCTCTTTATGTTTAGATGGTCCCTCTCTCCTACAAACCCTGTCCCTGTCTTCATTTCATAAGATCTCAGTCTCTCCTGACTTAACGAAACTGTGTCTCCACTAAAACCTACCACATCATTGCAGTTGATTTAGGGATTTGTTTTGCCATGTTCTCCTTGTATCATTGCCAAAATTTTATGTCAAAAGCCGACCAAGAGGGTCCCGCCCACCCAGCAGCTCCAGGACCCGCCTGTTAGCCAAGAAGAGGAGCTAGAGAGAGGGAGGTACGGTGGACTGACAAGATGAGAAAAAGGAACAAAATATGTCAGACCTTTTTTCGGCCATTTTTCTGTTGCTAAGCTAACGAGAGGCGGAGACTGGGAGGAGTCTAGCAATGTTTATATTACTAGTATGGGAAAAACTAAACCGTTGAATATGAAACAGGAGGACATGTCCTGAAGCCACACCCAGTCCAGGACTAGTTATCCCATACAGTGTATACTCCCTCCAGCTGAAGGTCATGTGATCAGTGACTCCGCCCTATTGTACCCCCACTATAATAACGGATTGGTAATAGTGTATTATGATAAGAATGGGAATGGAAAAATGAGGAATGAAGAACAGGAACCAAAAACCACAAATTTAATTGTCATTTATAAGGTTTCTGAGAGATACTATTCATTAGCCAAGTAAGTCATTAATTATTATTATTATTAATTGATGGGTGTGGTCTTATAATGTCCTTTTTAGTTTTGTCGTGTCGGAACTGGTTGATCCTGCCCACTAATGAGGACAAACCGGTTTATCTGGTTTCTGATAGTTCACTATCAGTGTTGGCTTTCCTTTTATCACAAGAAGACTTTGTAGCAAAAGTAATTAATTAAGTTAATATTATTATGATTATTATTATTGTTATTATTATTATCATTAGGTGTTAATGTATGGTAGTGCATCAGTAGCTGAGGAGGTGTGTCACTTGAACCGCTGGGACCAATGTTCCCTCCCTCTCAATGCACCGGAGACTGGACTGGAACTGAGGCAGTTGGACATAGTGTCATTCTTCCTTAGGAACAGAGGTAAAGGATATACTATTTATAGTAATACTGATACTATGTACTTAGTAGCACCAAGAGTGGATAAGGAGGAGGGGAGAGTGTCTAACTGCCCTATGCTGCTAGTGATATGTGCGCGTAGAAGTTTCATGGTTATTATTTGTACATTCCCGCATACCTTATTTAGCACAATAAGTGATAACTGCATGCACCGATCTGAAGCCATAGTTGGGCGTGTACTTAAGTTAACTGTAATATAAAAATGGCTGCTGAACTGAGCAGCAAGAGACCATACAGAGACCTTGGAAGCAGAATTTGACCTCACCTTGTTGTACCAGTCACTTTGTACCACTCTGAAGAGATTTGTAGTTTCCAAGCACACAAACCATGTTTGTTATTGACACATGAAAAGCTCTTGATCAATGATCATCCTCCTTTAGTCTGGTCCCTTGGGACCCACATCAAGAGTAAGGATAATAATAGAAGTGAAAGAATATGTGGTACATGTACTTTTGAGACGGGCTGTTAACTGCTGTTGATCTTAAAAACGAAGTATTACAGATCTGAGTTCACTGGAGCAGAGGCTTCTGACTCTTGACTCCATGTCCTCTTTCTTGATGCTTCAGGGCGCTTAGGTGTAGTGGCATGACGCTCATCAAGATTAGATGCTCTCAATCTGTTGTAACAGTCATGATCATCTGGATTGTGCTGTAGTTCTGACTCTTCCTCTTGAAACATCGTGACTACACGTGTGGGTGGGTGCACCATATAGGTTATTAAAAACACACCCATTTACTATCATGGCTGTTGATGTTTAAACAGGTCAAAGAAGGTGCTAAACAAACTGTGAAAGACTTCTACGCGCACATATCACTAGCAGCATAGGGCAGTTAGACACTCTCCCCTCCTCCTTATCCACTCTTGGTAGCACTCATATGTGTACATCTACATGTATTAATAGTAGTGATATTCTTTTGACTGAGTGGTTTGACAAGTAAACCAATGAATCCATAGATAAGAGTAGGGCTTTGGCTAGACTCATTGTGGTACATGAAATCAAATTAGATATCCATCTGCCTATGCCCTCTACCACTTTTGTCACAGGTGTCATATACTCATAACACCCTCCAGACAGGTAAACATCTGATACATAGTACTGTTTAGAGTAGTAATAATTGATTCTATTATAGTATGGGCTCTATTGATACTACAGTAACAAAGCTACTGTCACATGTATACATGTATACAGTCAGACACACTTTTTGCTTCTTTTAGTATGGCTTGCTTTCACTTGTGCACTTAATGTAGTTATCATAAAAAATAAAACAATTAAACATTTAACTTAGTTAATCAACTATTTTGTTGGACAATATTTTTTTCTAATGTAACTAGCAATAGATTTCTCTTCTATTGTATCCAGTGCTGTAGCTAATGATGACCAGCTGGGACCTCCTTTCTCTCTCACTTTATCTTCTCCTCTTAACCAGGCAGACATACACTCACGGAAACACTCCACTGGATCTCCTCTATTCTTCTTGTCTATATCCACTAGTCTAGGATCATATAATCCTAACTGTAGACCTAGTCTGTGCCATACAGAACACGGCAAGTGTTGATCTGATGTTAATTCTTTTATGGCAATATCAAGATCTTTAATATCTATAAAAATAATAATTAATAATGTGTATATACACTGTACAGTCTACACTCCCACTACTTGACAATTGTGATAGTACATATTATAACATACCTAGCTTTATTGGAGTCAATGGTGTCTTGAATTCTTCAGTTATTTCAATCACTTCCTATACAATAACAATAATAATAATAATAATAATAATAACTGATATTTGTCACTGTGCTTGTTTATCAAGGTGATAATACATCAGTAGTGTATTGCTGAAAGGTGAGTTTAACAGATGTACAAGTATATATTATTAGTAGTAAAAGCCACACAATGACAACCCACAATTATGACAAAGACTGAGTAATTGATAAGAAATAAAATTAATTTTTAGAAAAAATATGACCT